TATTTATTTTATTATCACGTGTGCGCCATCTGACTGTGTTATGGAGTTATGATCATCACGACACCGCCTGAATGAAGCGTTCATGTCCCAATTTGAACTAGTGTGGGAGGGAGTGCGGTTCATTAGAAGTTAGGTGCCCTCCTGACACATGATGAGAAGTCGCTTGATATTACTTTTACTATTACTATTACTATTAATATGTAGGTGACTTATCTATGTTTTGGACGTTTTGCCAGCTACCAGAGTGTTATTCTATGCCATGTATCCGTCATCGCAACTGTGAGTCTCGATACGCAATTCTGACAAGACCATGGACATAAGCTATGTAGTCCATTTCATTAAACATAATAATGAATATAATTTTCAGAGCGTTTCCGACGCCTACTAGAAAATACCAACGTATGAATAATTCTATATTATATATCTATATTATTTTTCCAGAAGACACGTGATCCAAGTCACGTGTTTGGATAGTGAATCTGTACAAGAGTTCTGGGCAACACTGAGTGACAATGAAGACGGTCGTACAGTTGGAAGACACACACTACAACACAGTTAGTGTGGATGAGAATAACCACGAGAAATCACTACAAACGCGACTGCTGGATACACTGACGTCATTCGCAGATGCTTGGCTGTCCATAATCCCTATCGGGTCTATATTGGTTGCATTTTGGTGGGGTACCTGGCTGACCATGGGAGTTGTACTTCCACCTAACGAGAAACTCAGCAGTTGGCTGTCATTGTCAATCGGATTCGGCATTCTCCTTCTGGTTACTCCGATGCAGCGGTTGATCGCTACAAAAGTCACCGAGAGAACGATGTTATGGTACATCATCCCCCGTGTATATCTCTATGTCTTCTCTGTGGCTACGGTGAATTTATGGAGAGGTACCTGGGGTGTCATTATCTCCCATGTCGGGGACTCCTTCTCAGGATATATTGTCGTGGTAGCAGTATCATACATAACATTATGCCTCTTCCGCTTAAGTTACACTCTCGTTACGGCGCCACTGGTCATGGACTTGGACTTGGAAATAAATTATTATTGTATAAAACCCCGTTTCGGTGACGTGAAAGACTTCTTCCCCTGGGTACTGGGACTTGTTGTTACGTTTGGCTTACACGCTTTCGTGGCATCCTCGTGGTTAGGCGTGTGGACAGTACTTGATTTCTGTTTGTTCCCGGGCGACAAATTAACATCGGCTTACACTTCGTTGTGCTTAGCAGGCGGGTTATGCATGGTGACGTTGATACTCGGCCATCCACTGACGTTACTGTCTCATCGAATCGAGAACTTCGTGGCAAGGCTGGTAATAGAAGACGTCTGGAACATAATCCGTCATATTACAGTTGTCCTGCTTTGGCGAGGGTTCTGGTTACTGTATGATCTATATATATTCCCCGACTATCCTGCGATTGGATTTGTTTTATTTCACTGTACCTCTGCCATATTCATGACACACATGATGTGTGGATTTCTTCTCGCTGCTGCCAGTTTAAATTGTTATAGATTAGATGGGGATCCTCACCAACGAGATATATACCAGATGCCTGCATACATTAAACCATTGGTGAGTACCACCCCTTTCTCGAGGAATAAATCGGAAGTCGGGAGTGATATAATATCCCCAATTCAGTACGTAATTGGTACGAAATGCGTATATTTTTTGTCAGATCTCAAAGCAGGAAAAATCCGTTTTATAGCAGATTGACACCCATCTATTTGGTATGTAAATACAGTAGTTTCCTCTCCAAAGCTTATAATGTTATTAAAATACAAGTTCTAATATGAATTGATAACTACTACTAATGCGTAATTATTTAGTTATAACGAAGATCTCTCTGTTTTTCACGACACCTGTTTACGGCCTTCATTGAAAACACAATTGCACTGCACCTTGGTTTGCATTTGGGCCATCTACACCCCCCGGCGGGGCGACGCTCACATTCAATGGGATCCTAATTTATCAATGAAAAATCAACAGTCCATCATCATGGTGGACAATTTATTCTTCACCGAGACTGTCAAGTATGTGGCTTTGATGGTAACATCTCAATGGATGATTTACGGGTGTCAAGCACGTGTAATATGTTACACTGATAACTGGCCCGCTTTTCAAAATGTGCAAAAATCAATTAACCATTTCCAGAAGACTGGGTTCCCGGTGCTGTGAATTGAAGAGATACTTGGATGACGTATTCGAACAATACAGTTGATCAAAAATCGAAAATGTTGACAACTTAAATTATCCTTTTTGTAATCTTTTTCTTTAATTTTTCGATTATTAATTTATCTTTATTTAGAGCTTCGGCGAAATAGTGTATCGATATTTCCAATAATGAACCGGTAAGTTGTAGTTTCCGGAGGTTACCATACACTGTCAAATCAGTCACTGAGTGTGGATCAATCAGTGTTGCATATCACAGAAGGCTACTGAATTCGTGTTGGTACAATCATGGACGCCCATGGTACAATACAACTTTCCTACAAGTCACGCCATCTAGCGACAAAACGATTCGATGACGTCAAAATGACGTGAAGTGATTTTGTCGCTTGTCATGTAGAATATAGTAGATCTTTACAAATATAGTTTTATTGACCGACGACCACATATGAAGGTAGAACAAATCATGGAGGTGTTCTTATTACCTCCATGATAAAATGAACGGCGACCTTTGACTCATTTACGTACCTAATCATTTCGTCACTAGAGGGCGCGAGTCTATGGTGCTAGATAAAAAGTCTTTACTGTGTCTATATGGAGCTACGTCAAAGCATGCAGGTAAAACTTTCTACGTTGCTAGGGCGCGCACCACTCTAGCATGTATTTATATGAGCTCCGTCAGTGCAAGCTGCTGCGGAACGCCGGTCGAAGAGCCGGTGAAAACAGCCAAAGTCGCAGAAACAGCACAAACTAAACTTTGAACGCTATCTTGAGCAACCAAATTTATATGTGTATTGCACATGTGGTGGTAATCGTGTATACATTCTGTTCAGGGTAGTCTCAGTAATTATCACAAAGTACAGTTTTCTAAGAGTTTTCGACGTTTGTTTTCACCGTGATGGTTACCAAGCGATGAAAATGCCCGGATATCCGCCCAAGAATAACTGTTGAACTACCCAAGTAGTTTTTTTCATGTGCCAGATTTTGTACCTTATTTTGTCGTTTTTAATATCATTTCAGGTACATCATTATAACAGCCTCCGACAAGCCAGCCATAAACTCAGTCACCACTCAATAGATCACTTATAAACTCTGTATATATTGTGTTTAGAACATCGTGGTACAGTTCAATGTTAAGGCAAAGTAACAGACCTGAGAAATGTATGCAACACACACGAGTCTCAATGAATGAATTTTAACTCTGTTATGAACTTCGTATTTATAAGGTCACACCAGGAATACAATAGTTAGCACTTTGCGTATTCTTACAGGGTAAGAATGTTTTCGACCGAATGTTTTCCGATGAGCAGTTGCTTCAGTTTTGTCAAATAATCACACCTATAAGGAACTTGACTTTTTTACTTCACGATGACAGCTGGTCATTGAGATTCAACAAGAGGCGTTAGCAGCTGCTACAGTCCGAAGTCACAGCGCAAGATGCCCTGTCACAATGACCGTAACGGCTAACATTTATCGGTGTCACCGTATTTCTGACTCTTTGTATTACTAAGTAATGGAATTCACATGATGCAAGACATATAATAAAAACGGTGTTGGACAAAGCGGTATTATATAGGGTGTATTTTCTAATAAAAATAAACAGCGGTGAAAAACCTATATTTTTGTTTTATGTGTATTCAAGTTGTTCGAATAGCAGCTATAATTCACAATACAGACGTTGGTTTCTAAGCTCATGTGATATTTGCGCTGATTGGAAGCATATATACGAGGTGTAATATAATACGTTGACAAAATCTATCGACGAACAATCTGATCTCTGATTGGTCTGAATATTAGGGCTGGGTAGCGAATCAAGCACACTCTTCGCCTTCGTTCTGTGCCACTTCAAGTTGCATGCTTTATAAAAAATATCGTTGAGGGCAGTATACACCACCTAGAATACAGCAACTGGGTACCAGCGGGTATGGGATGAGTAAAGGTGAAATTACACCATCGGCTGTCACGTTAGTCGGCCGGCAGTTTTAAAAATCGGCTGACTGAACGCAAAAAACAAAAACAAAAACAAGTTTCTTTCCCGGCGACAATAGTCGGACGACTTGCAACTACACGACCGATTATACTAGTAGGTGTAATTTGCCGACTACAGTTAGTCGTGTGATTTCACGTTCATGATTTCACGTCGCTGTACAAATGTGGAAATAAACAACACATTTGATTCGGAAGCTCATATACATCTAATATGTGATTCAGATCAAATGCTGTCACGATAAGTGAAAAGTGTTCATGATATTAATAGTAATACATTTCTTCACAGAATTTGAAAACCACACCGTACTCTCTTTTGATATTAACTGCAGGGGGCGCTATTCAAATACTTGAATGTATTTACTTCTACTGCTGCGGTGCCATTTTCAGTGCTTATTAAAAAAGACACAAAATAACGTCAGGACAACAAGTCCATAATCTGCTGAATATTTTACGAAGAACAGCACGTTCTCTTCACTTTCCATATTACAAACTTTAGCGCAAAAACAAAAGTTCACAGATATGTCACTGGAATCGTAACAACATACATTCATTTAATCACTGACAGGGCTATGCAATGTAATTTACGAAATGATAACCCACTAAGAAAAATACAATTTTATTTGAACATATTAAATATTCACCTTGAGCGAATTCATGCGTCAAGTGCCCGCCAAATCCGCCTATCATGTGATGTACACGTCGATAGTGATGTAGTAGCTATACGAAAATGACATCGGTTCGAACTCTGGGTCGTCTAATGCTGTCACCTAGTTGACTTCGCCAAAAACATACAAAACACATGGCTTTGTCGTCCGTGTTTTTCTTTGGGACACCCTTCTTGAAAAAGGTATACTAGTATGTCCCCAAACAGGTTATTACTCACTCTTATTTTTACCACATGGATTATCAGTGTTCTCCACAGAAAATTGTTTTGCGGCTAATTTGCATATTATGATTTTCTCGTACAATCTTGATAAAGATGTGTGGCCACCAACCTACTTTTGTTACAAAAATTGTTAAAGCGGGAGTGTCGTCACCTGCGCACGCGCGAGAATTGAATCCCAAACGACAATAGCAACACTTGCTAAAAACGCAAAGGCTCTTGGGTAGACGCTTGTTAGTAAACAGTGATATGGCCATCTGACGCATGCGCAGGTGACGACTCCCCCGCTTATATTTGTGAAAATGTTTTTGGTCATTAACCCTTTTTCTGCGGTAAAAAAGTCGATATCTGAAAATTCCGGTTGGATACATACGATAAAATGATAGATTGTCATGGAAATACTTCCAACAGGGTCAAATAGTTCATTTACAAAATATTTCCTACAGAGTGGGAAATCCCCAAAACCATGACATATGTCTAATGGACTGGTTGGTCACTTCAGTTTTTTTACTTTGAAAGTAGGGGGGGGGGGTCAACTCATTTCTGATTTATAGTACGAAGTCAATGTGTTCTGGTTTGAGTGGCGAGACCAAAACTCTAACAAACTAAACTGATTTTAATACAAGAACCATTTTCATATTTGTTAACATTTCATATAGCATACATTGAACAAACTTACATCTACTCTATAATCAAAATCAGCAGATGTCCAAGGTAGGTAATGTTATGTCTTGACAGGTGATTACATTTAACAACCTCTCTGTTTGTGTGAGTGGCGGTGACAAGGGGAGGGGGGCGCAAAGGGGGCGGTCGCCCCCAAATAAAGCTGAAATCCTTCGTGTCAGCAAAATTCGCCCTCAAAATGCAGGAAATAGCGTTTCAGATGTTCTAAATTTCAGATCTCGCCTCTGTGTGTGAGTGGAATCTTGTAAACTGTCACGAAGCCGAGGGTCACGTGATGTTCACATGATTCAATACACGTACTGCCTGGATGTTTACCCTTGCACTGCACGGAATAATACCACTAGAAACTGAATAAATGATTGAAGTAACCACAGTCCCTCTATCGATAGAAGGGGTAGAGGACTGTGAAGTACATAATGTAACACAAAATTAATGCACAGATTACTTCGCGTGTCGATGTCAGTGGATGTGCACACTTGCATAACACAACTTAGTTACTCTATTCAGTGCAGTGTCGTGTATATGACATTACGACGAATGTATTCGTTAAACGTTTAGCCATTCCAACCACTAAATTCCCTGACTAGTACTGACTAACAATACGACTGATTCGAGTACAGCTTGACTAACCTTTTCAATAATTGAGAAAGAACTCTCATTCAACGCCAAAGTTCTAAATTTTCCGTATGCGAGCCTGACAATACGTCTGACCATGTATCTTCGATGGTCTGACAGAAGCCGAATCAGTGGAACAGAAGATTCTCATCTATAGCATACTAATAACTGTACTTATCGCTTTGTTCGATGAAATTAGGTTGTAAAGCATTTGGAAAGTGGTGCAAGTGTGAAACTAGATTGCAATGTAGTAGAAAAGTGGTGCAAATTGTGAAACTGGAGTGGAAAGTAATGGAATAGCGGTGCAAAGTGTGAATCGAGAGGCCAAAGTAGTGGAATAGTGGTGCACAGTTTGAAACTAGAAGGCAATTTAGTA